AAAAAAACAAAAAAAACAAATAGAAATATTTCCTCTTTGAAAGATCAATGATAGCATCGATCTAAATTGTATTCATTTACTTCAGCTCTTGTCAATGGTTTCTTTGGTGCTCTTCTGGGTATGTCTGAGAATTCAGTGATTGGCAGAATAGGAGATGCATGCTTGAAATTTCCAGTCACCCTATTGACAACCTGCCAAGATTCAAATTATTCAGACTCAGAATTATCCAAACATAACACAGACACTTAAAAAGAAAAGAAAGATATTTTATCTCTGTAATATTAGAAATTTTCCCTTAGTAAAGATTTAAGCAACAGAGCCTACAAACACAACTTAGTGCCTCACATGTGAAGCCTCATTCTTCAAATATTTTAACAAAAAATATCCTTATACTTTCTTGTACAATGAATTAGATTTCTTTACATAAATTGGATATTATAGGAAAATCCTAAAATTCAGAACTACATGGGGAAAATCCGTTTAAAATTGTTAAAAAAAAAAGTAAATTTGAGATTTGTGAAAATTCACCACCTCCCCATTTCCAATTAAAGGGTAATTTACAAAGAATACCACTTGTATAGTTTATGAAACATATTTACTAAGGATTCGTTGCTTGAAGCCATTATAGTTTCAGCTATGGGAGTACTCTCTGAAATTACTGGACCATCTATACGAAAATGTTCTGAAGTTTCCACCTGTTAGTTTGAAAACAAAACAAAAACAATAAATATAAAATAATACTAAAACCCTACCAATCTGAAAACCCAATTCTAAGGAATAAGCCTTGCATCACCCTTTTCCTTGGAGTTCTTCTTGACCCTCTTGTAGATTCCCTAGTTAATGCCTGCAGAGGTCCGCCTTTTGAAGATCCACTTGTCCATTCAGTTTCAGTTACTCCAGCTTGAGAATAGCTCTATTCAAGCATCAACACATTAAAAAGTCATATTCTAACACCAAATACTTTTATAACGGCCATACTGGCACACTGAGAAGCCAGGAAATAAGTCTCCAAATGCCAGCATTTACAAACGATGCTATGCTCTCAAAATATTCCTAAATGTATTAATTGAACTGATATTTAGGCATCAGAAAACACTTAAAAAGTGGTAAAATACACTGAAGAATCCACCTATAGCAGCTCACAAATTATCATAAAAATGATGGGGAAAAAAAAGCACATCAACTATCACCAGTTCCCTTTTTGACTCTCTGCTATTTGGTTCTAGTATTGGAGATACATCTCTGACTAAACAAAAAGCAGACTGATCATGACTTACAAGAAAGTCATCTATTATAAGTCAGTTTCCTTTTAGAACAAAAATACAAACTTTTGTAATTGTTAGCATAGACTAAACATTATTTTCATATGGTTAGAATCATTTTAGTAGAATCAGTTTAAATTATAATCCCACACATAGCTTACTTGAACTAAAAAATTCTCAGGTGTCAAACTTTTCTTGGAAACAGATACAAAATTAGGTAGTCACAAAAACCCTGTGGTCACTCTTTAATGAACACGTAAGCCTAATGTCACTTTCAAATCTCAACGCTATCCATGTCACTACAGAAAGATAGAAAACAGCTGTCTCAGATTCTCAATCTCAGATTAATTTCTACATTTCACTGGTCATTCCTCATTTTTAAAAATCCAGCATTTCTTACATACTAGTTTAAAACCCATTAGATCAGTTCTTCTTAAATTGTAATGTGCCTATCAATCACTTGAAGCTTTTGTTAAATGCAGATTCTGATTCTGTAGCTCTTGGGTAGGGCCCGAAATTCCACATTCCAAGTAGCAAGGTTTTCAGTTTTGAAGCCGCTATTACCAGATGATTCTTTTAAATTCTTTTAACTAGAGAACATTGGTCAATGATCAGTATTATAGTAGAGTGTGCTTCTGTTGTCACTTCTGCTTTCACGCTAATATTTAACCTAGATTACTGATAGTTTTATGTCCAAGTCAGTGTCTATTAAATTTAAAGACAGATTTTTTTTTCAAACTTTAATCCTGTGACAGGAGTGGTCATCCAATAAATATGCCTAAATGGCTAGAAGTAATACTTCCAAAACCCCAAAAGTTACAGACATAGTCTCATAAATCATTGTTTTGTATTTATCTATATTTAGAATTGACATTATAAGAGTTTTAAGTTACAATCTGAATCTCTGGGTTCCTTATCCTATCAACTAGGAAATATTTGCTGAATGCAAAATTATTGTCAAAAGAGAAATTTGTAAACAAATTACAGATATACACAGAGTAACTGCTTTCTTATTTTTATTTTTTGAGACAGAATCTCGCTCTGTTGCCCAGGCCAGAGTACAGTGGCGCAATCTCGGCTCACGGCCACCTCCACCTGCGAGGTTCAAGCGATTCTCCTGCCTCACCCTCCTGAGTAGCACGGATTACAGGCACGCACCAGCACGCTTAGCTGAATTTTTCGTATTTTTAGTAGAGATGGGGTTTTGCCATGTTGGCCAGGCTGGTCTCCTGACCTCAGGTGATCCACCCACCTGGGCCTCCCGAAGTGCTGGGATTATAGGCGTGAGCCACTGTGCCTGGCCAGAGTATGTGCTTTTTAATAGTCAAATTCCCTACTATTTGAATAGAAGGAAAGGTAGTATTATAATCTGAGATTCTCAATCCTTGTGGCACAGTATCATCAAGGAGAAAAAAAAAAAAGCAAATGCCCCCAACTACCATAACCAATTAGATCGAATATCATCAGGGTCTGGGAATATATAATTTCTAAAGCTCCTGAGATAAGTAAAAGCCATCTTAAAGGCCTCACTATCAATTTAAGTAAAACATGACCAATATGGTTACTCATACTAACTTTATTAAAAAAAAACAACAACAACAAAAAACACCAGCCTCATATTCCTCCATTTGAGAACAGTACTTTCAAACATTGCGGGTGGGAATGCAAAATGCTTCAACTCATATGCAGAGAAATGTAATGGTGAAATTACCTAGCAATTTCACTTGTAGGCTTCCCCAAGATAAACTGGCAAAAAATATGCAATGACACATGCAAAATGTTGCTCTATGGTTCATCCTCGCATTATTCATAATAACATACAGCTGAAAACAACTCAAATATTCACCAAATGGAGAGTGGTTAAATAAATTACAGTACATCCATAAAATGCAACACATAAAATGCAGTTGTACAAAGCAATGAGGAAGATAGCTACATTCTTATATGGAGTGATCTCTAGGATATGTGTTTAGGTTAAAAATGGAAATATACAAAGCAGGCTGCATTTTATGTAAAAGGGGAGCATATAAAAATCTATATATTTACTTGTATTTTCAAAAAGAAACAAAATATAATCAAAACTTAATAAAAATGGTTATCTATAGATGGAAGGGAAAAGGACAGAAGCCAGAATTCCAACTCTACCTTATTTTGTCTATATAAAACTATATTATACTCTCAACACAATTAAAAAATAGTAATAATTTAAAAATCCTAGTATTAGAAAACAAAAAAAATCTATTAAGTTGGTGGCTGCATGACACAAAGACAAAAATTACTTCAAGTGATTTTAAGTACAGTATTTTGACTTTACATTCTAGTGGGATATGTCCTAAAGACAAGAAAAACAAAATCCCAAATTGCATTTAACAGCCTTATTGTTACTAGTAATACCGTATTATTTAGAAACACATACATGTGATACTTACGTAAGTAATAGTATCATTTGAAGAACCAAGATATTCAGCATAAGATAAAAAAGATACAAGTATAATGCCTAAAATTAGCCTGTATTTAAAAATTTGAAATTTCACCATTTATTCATGATTTACATTAATTCATGATTTACCTAGCACTACCTACTGAAAAGACCCAGAAACAGAAACAATGACAGCCACTAGGAATGAACATGTCAGCATCCAAATTGTTGCTTCCAAATAGTATTTTCTATTAAAAGGATCAGGGTTCCTTGGAAACATGGCTGATTCCAGGT